TTGCCTTAGTCTTCTCCGCGTCTTTTACTTCTTTTGCCAGATGGCTACTCGTCGTCCTTTTAATCTTCTCCTTCGTTTTTTACTTCTTTCGCCAGATGGTCACTCGTCGTCAATTTAATCTTTTTCATCGTTTTTACTTTTTTCGCAAGGTTACCACTCGTCGTTAGCTTTTATTGATATCTCGTCGTTCTTGGTATTTCGTTCGTATATTAACCACTCCCAAATGAAAATTAGGACGAAATAATACAAATTTCTATGATATTCCAGTTCCATTTGCAAAGGGAAAAATATAAAGATATAATAAAATATTAAATAATAATAATAAAATATGCTTAGTACTTTATTTTATTATTATTATTTAATATTTTATTACTTAGTTTTTTAATTTGTGTTAGTAAGTGCTCTTTCGTACACAATTTACCAAACTATTTTCCCTCAGTGTACTATTATAGCAAACTGTTTTGAGGCAGGTTGCAGGTTGCATTTGCAGCGGTTGTCAATGGCCGGGTGGCAGACATTATCAGGACTTCCGCAACCTCGATTCGCGGGCTAGATAGGGGGTAGCGGATTGTGGGCGTGGCAAAAGGCTTGGCAACGGAACTTTGCTGAACAAAACGGAAGTGAATTGTTTCGTGTTTTCCCGCTCCAATCCCTTCAACAGAAGGAATGATTTCCAAAGAACCGCTCAAAGGAGCCTGATTGAATCGATCCAATCGACCGCAAGCACGACTGGTTAACAGAAATGATGAAAAATCAGGCATAAATAATGCACAAGTCAGTCATGCAAAATGCATAAATATATGTGTATATGCAGCACTTAATTAGCGCTCACGGATTTTTAATGGCGTTAATTGCATGGCATAAATGACAGTCGCCAATAAACAACAAAAGAGCCAACCGCCCGCCACTGCTCCATTGGCCGCGTTAATAATCTCGGCAAAAAAGGAGAATTTAATTAGCAACAGTCGCAGACTGTAAAAACAAAACAATTTTCGAGACAGGCTTAAAGTTCAATATTAAATTTAGTGATAAAAAATAGTTGATGCCGCATTTTTTGCCCTTGCAATTGAGTTGGAAAAAATTTCAACTTAAATCGCCTTTTCAATTAATCGAAGATAGTTTTTTGCGGGTAGTAAATTTTGTGGCTTTCAATGGGAGATATATTTGGGTATGGCTTTTTCCAGAAGGGCAGTAAAATTTAAATGAAATTAAAGGTAATTTATTAATAAAATATTTAAATAATATTTACTTACTTACATCAACTATTTTCCGAAAGAGTTAAACAAGAAGTAAGGCCAACTTCTTGCTCCATTTACGGCACTTTCTCACGCTCCACCGATTTATTTTCTGTTCGGTGACACTTTCAGCAGAGTTAGCTGTTAAGTAAATTGTTGAAACGCATGCAGCTATCATAACTTGAATTCCACTGGCTCTGCTCCTGAATGTCCTGTCCTCGCAGGACAAACTTTGCCGAGAGGAAGCGACAGTTGATTTAACACGAAGGCACATACACAAACAGCAGAGTTGCAGACGCGTGCACCTGTCGTCAAAACTTGCATAAGTCATGAAAGCCCCTGGAAAAAAGTACTGAAAAAGGGAAGGGGAAAACTGAAGCCCAACCATTTTCCAACTTCCCCCGAAACGTTTGCATTAAAAATGTCAACTCGAGTGATTCCTGTGACCTGTGCAGAATCCCAAAAGCCGAAACCTGGTTGGATTCTGAAGCGGGATTTATGTGAGCTAATTAAATTTAATGCGCTTTGTGCCGCAGTAGTCAATCTGCACGGCAGTCAGGCCTTTCTTTAATTTTTGATCAACTTTTCCAGTGCTGCTGCTTGGCCTGCTGCTTGCCTCGCCTTCAGTTGGTAAATTTAAGGAAAAGTTCCTGCCGGAAAGGCGAGCAAAACTTTATAGGCTTGTTAAGGGAAAAGTTTAGCAGGGCGGCATTTATTTTCGGCAACTCAAAGGCCAAAACTCCCGAGCAGAGGCAACAAATGAAATGAAAACGTGTCAATTTACTTTCTGACAGGCCAGAAACAGAAGCTAAAATGCCCCAGAAAATGCGTGTGTGTCAGTTGCTCGTTTTAATTTCCAATTAATTTATCAAGTTTTTACCAAATTTCCCATGATCTCTCCTCCTTCGATTTTTGATTTGCAGCTTAAAGTTTTTGACTTTTGCCTGTGGTGAAGTTGATTGGCGTTGTTGGCTTATTGAATGGCTCGCACTTTGTCTGTTTATGATCTTGAAACCCTTTTATTATTATTATTTCGCTTTTATATGCTTATGTATGGGCCATAGCTTTGTGGTTTTTGGATTTTCGGGTCCGTCAGTGCCAGCTCGTTTTTATGGCCATTTGACTCCGTTTTATTGTCACACCGCAGCGGAGTGGGTAGACCGAAAACCACTTGGTCGCTTGGCCACTTGGCCACTTTAGAGTTGTCTTTCGGTGTCATAAATTTCGCCACGTCGGCCATTTTGCGGCGTGCTGAGACATTAATTTGATGCCAGCAATGGCTGCTTACCGGGTTTCCGTTTCCTTTTCCTTCCCAACACACAGAGAGAGAGAGAGAGAGCAGAACATAATTTATTTGCCATTATGGAAACTTCATTCGCTGTTGATTGGAAACTTGTAATACAGTATGTGTACTTTTCAATTTCGTGTGAGGCGACGACGACGACGATGTCGTCGGTGGGCAAAACATAATTCCAAGTGCAGCTGAAGTTATGGCAGCCGAAGGAGCCACCAGGATCCATCGAATATATACGTATATATATGTGTGCTGGTGAAGGACGCAGCAAAATGCCAAACGCAAATGTCGCCAATATCCCAATGGCAATCGATGAAAATTTATAGAAAATTGCGCACAAATAAAATTTTACGTTTGTTTGCCTTTCTGTTTCTCTTTTTTTTTTTTCATTTACGATGCCGGCAAGCATTTTGCCTTTTTCTTAACCTGTTTTTCTTTTGGCTTGCGGGAAATGTGGAAATGTGCTTTTCCTTGACTTCTGGCCGTCAATGTGTTTTCTCCGCTGCACCAAAGCGATTTGCATTTGCGATTGTTGTTCCTGTTGCTCAGCGGGGAATCCCATTGCTGTTAATGTTTACGATTGTCGTTTTCAATTTCAGTTAATTGAAACAAGGGCAGCAGGGATGCATTAAGCCCACTCCAAAGGGGGGCCAGCTCATATGAGCTCGACTTCTGGTGAAAATTTGAGCATTGCTTCTCTTTGCTTTGCAGCTTTTCCTACCATTTTTCCATGATTTTTTGTTTGTTTGCAGTTTTCTCTACTTTGAGCGTTTCCCAGGCAGCCATAGTTTATTCTGTTTGCAGTGAAAAGTCTGTTGCAGTCCCTAGCTGGCAACTTTAAGGGATAAAGGCAGCTATTTCAGTCGGAAAAGGTTTATGTTCTACAAAACGTCCAGCTAAGCAGTAAATAGTAAGTCCCTTTGAGGAGAAATCCTAGACCAACACCCTAAATTATTTCGAATTTGAAGTTGAATGAAGGTGTATGTTACTATTTACATGGATTTTGCTTCATTGTACCCTTAAAGTTAAATTTAACAAGCAAAGTAAATGTACTCCGCATAGAGAAGCAAATTAATAAGTCAGTAAGACTAAGCCATTTATAAATCTATAAATAATTAAAGAGAAATATAACCTAACAGATATAAACTTAACATTTCTCTCTCTGCAATCGTGCTTGTTATTTATTTTCACATTTTTTTAATTGGCCTTTGCTGTTGCTGGTGCATAAACAAAGAAATTGTTCTGCCACTAATTAAGTCAATTAAAAATTAAATAAGTTTAACATGGATTCGAATGGGACAGAGCCTCGAGTTTCGTTGTTTGGCCGCATGTTATTGAATGGCCAGCAAGTGTTGGTCAGAATTGCTAATTGCGGTCAGATGTAATTGAGTAACAAAGGAACCGCAGCATCCTGGCCACACACACATTCACACGATCAAACAGGACTATCTCCAAACATAATGTGAAATACCAAAATTCAAAATATAGAGAACCATTGGCAATGGGAAAGCAACCACTTCTGGGCAAATGGCCACCCAAAGTGCTTTTGTCTGGCTAAGCAGAAATGTGGAACACAAAAATTGCATATCGATAAGTAGTAAAAGTATCTGGTATCTGCAGGGAAAACACAAAAACACAAAAACTAAAGAGCCAAGCGAATTTTCCACATCATTAGATGGCCAGCTGGGGAGCTGGTTCGCTGGTATTTCCCTTTCGGCTTTTTTTTTCGGATGGCCAATGCATATTCATCACACGCCATATTAATCAACTCGATTTCGCTCTCCATTTTCGTCCTTTTTCCGCTCTAAAATCAGCATTAAATCCAGGAAAGTGCCAGGATGCATGGAAGGTTGGGTAGGAGTCGTTGGGAACCTTTATGAATGAGTCGCGGAGCTTTCACTAGCCGGCAAGGGTAGCATAATCGTAAAAAACACTTTGTTTACATAGACCACGGAATGGTTATTTTTGGTCTGGCCTCCAGGAAAAGCTCTGGAAAGGCAATAGTGGTAACAGTTTTTCGGTGTTTATAGCAGAAAAGCTTGGAAAGCTGTAAAGGCTTTAGCGTGGCATCAAACCGCTTTTAGCAGGAGTAAAGTATTATAAAAGCTTTTTTGTGAAAGGAATTTCCCTACATTTACCTCGAAGTCCATGAAGAATGTAAACTAATTGAAACTTTTTATATCTTTGGTAACTTAACGCATTTTTATCGCCCTGATAACAAGAACTTGAAAATAAAGTTAATTGAATTTCAATTGTTTTTAAGAATCGCCAAAATGATTAAAAAGTTCATAGGCTTTCTTGGAATTTTAAACATATCTGGAAATAAATAGAGAAGAATTTTTATCAACACAAGTCCAGGAATAAATTATGATATCACGAATTTATCTATTAGATATGAAGATTATTTTATATTTCATTAAAACTTAAACGAAAGTACAGAAATTCGTGAGCTGTAAAACTATTTAAATCTAAAACTAATAAATTAAATAAAATTATTAATATTTTATACAGTAAATAAGAGAGTAAGGCACTTAGTGAATTAATTAGAAGGGTTTCCCAGCTTAGATAATCACTTATTTTATGAGGTTACCAGATTGGCAAAATATAGACAAGCGATAGATAATGATATGCACACGAGCGATCACGCGTGGGAATAGAATATATAAAGTAGAGTACGTATAAATAGATAACAGATAGGTGTATATAACAGATACTTAGCACTTATAGATACGGCGAGGCCTTAAGGAACCTTCTTGAACTTGAGCAGGCATTCATAGAGTGTCATTTGCTTGGTCTCTGGCATAAACATAAATACGATTAAGCCGACTATAAAACTAAGACCGCCGATCGAGAAGAAGAACACCGAAGTGGTGATATAGTGCTCGAAGGTGGCCAGGAGAAGGCCCAACTGGAGCATTTGCTCTAGGATCAGGATCCCAGCCAAGCATCTTGCCTTGTGGGCAATGCTAAATGCCTCAGCTGTATAGATTAAGGCTGGCACTGCCACGCCCCCTGATACTAACACCTCGAATAATAGCATTAAAAGGGCAATGGCCAGTAGATTTACATCATAGAAGGATCTCTTCACAGACTCTAGATGCTCGAAAACTCCTCCAACCATCACAATGACAATGCCTGCCATAAATAGGGACAGGGAACACAGTTTCCTGCGACCCTGCCAATCGACTACAAAAGCTCCAAGGATACTGCCTATAAGACCGGAAAATGCCAGCCAATACATACAGCTCATATCGCATTCCAGGCCATGCCAACTGACCACCACAAAGGCTCGATTGTAGCTCAATGATATGGCCAAGGCGGCAAAGCATCTTAGTAGCAGAACCTTGAAGAAGGGTAGAAGACGTCTTGCCCAGATCCTCCAACCTGGTACTGATTCATCTGGCTCCTCTACAAAACGCTCCCAGTCCCGAGCACTATGCAATTGTCTGCAATCTTCTCTCAGCCTCACCAACTCCGTGGTAGATTGTCCATGCAAGGCTTTCAACGTCTCACCCACTGCCATATCTCGTTCCTGATGCAATAGCAGTAATGGTGATTCCAGTCGATGGGCTATTGCCAGTATAACAGCTCCTAATCCCAATCCAGCCAATGCTATTCCATGCAACTGATCAATGTGCATCTCGTAGCCCTGAGAATCCAATGGCCTCCAGTGGCGCCAAACACGAGTGTAGAACACTTGCACCGAGACTCCCAGCCAAAGGAATATCTTCTCACAGCTAAGGAGCATACCCCGAATGGATTTGTGAGCCACTTCGGATCCTGTGACCAGAGCTTGGATTTGGGTCAATCCGTATGCGGCTCCTACACTCACGCTACTATAGCAGGCAGCCAGAAAGTGCTGGGGAAGCGCAATATTCAAAACTCCAGCTATGATCATCAGAAAGCCACTGGAGGTCTAAAAAAGAATAAATATATTTATTAGTTTCCAGTTTGATTAAAGTGAGTACTGAGCTCTTCAAAATCTGTCCCCATTAAAAAATCTGTTTGTCATCCAAGCTATTTTTAGCCAACAATGATGATAATGATTGCTTTTTTGTGTAATGAAGTTGCCGCTTGGGAAATCCCAACAACCGATCGATCAGCCCTCGCTTACCGCCCAGTGCCTATCGCCACTTAATGGCCAATGCAGGTTGAACGCGATCGCCTTATCAGTTTATTGGATTGATAAGCCCCTAATGGTTAACTGCTAATGGCTGCAGAATTAATTATTGGTGGCATGAAAAAGGGTAAGTCCAATCGGAGTTTTTTCGGGGGGAGCAGCACACAGTAGTATAAAATAATAAAAAAATAAATCTGAAGTTACATAAACTACTTACATATGCCACATTTTTCGTCACTCGCTGGACAAATAAAGCTGCCAAAAGGGCACCCAACGCAGCTCCAATGAACCAGCTCATCATCAGGTTGTGGGTATTGTTGTTATTCAGGAACTTCCCAGCGGGAGTATCAAAGATAGACCAGGCCAAACGCATTCCACAGCCGACGAAAACAATCGAGGCTATAAAATATATATAGTAAAGATCCTGAAGATCCTGATTTAGTTCTTTGATGATCTTTACCGGAGGCCATCGAATGGAATTGTAGGCGATATTTCCACATGACGCGAAGCCAGGACAACTTGGCCTCTTCCTCTATTGTTGGTAACATTGGCATTTTGGCTTTAATCACTAAATCACTGCGTAACGAAATTTACAAAACCAAGAGGCTTAACAATTGTTGCGCCGTTTCCGTTTTCAATTATTTGTCCAGTTGTTGATTGTTTACTTGGCCTTTTCTTTTCATTGGAACCGCTCTAGACAAACACTCGAGTTTGTCATTATTTTTGCACTTTGTGTCACCGATATTTGGCCGTAAATTTCGCACTTGCCGGACCCGCCAAGAATCAAGTCAACCGACTGCTCAGACGCCGTTTGATAAATGGAAGAGCATCGAGCGGTTATTGAGCGAGCACCTCGAATTGGCCAGCAAAGTCGATAAGATAAGAGCGGACACAACACTTTTTGCCAGCCCACTTATCGGCCTGATTAGTGGATATAAATAAATTAATTAAATTTGAATATATATGAAGGTTGAAAATCACATTGGTATATAGGGCGAACACCTTTATGGCCCACAGTGGGTGCAATTTTATTGTAAAGTTTGTTTAAGTTAAAATTGAAAGTCTATTGGAGATGCGCGAAATTGCTCAGAGAAGAACTAGTTCTTGGTTCAACAAAAATATAAATGATAAAAAATATCCTCTCTGCTTAAAAATTATATGTTTTACTTCACAAATTATGTAAATTTGTAAGTATCTTTACATTTTTTAAAGTTTTAATATAAGTCAAACAAAGCCAAATGAACCATAAAACTAGTTCCAGTTCAAAATTTATTTTAGTCACCTATATAAAGCCCAGCAAACATTTATGACCCCCAAATCTTATCAAAGTTGTATGGGAACCAAGTTAATTGCCTTTTTGAAATAAAACTTTTAGGTCGCCGGACTTATCTCACACTTTTATAGCCTAGGTGTTCCCCCTAAATACAATAACCATTAGCTCTTCACGATGATCGGCAGAAAAGAGTGCAGCAAAAACAGTCAAACCTGGACAGTCACTCTAGTGCCGATAAGGCAAGAGAAAATACGCACGTTTTCTTATAAAGATTTTAGATTTATTTCATAGCTATATCTACGGGTTGGCTAGTCTTGTTTTGTTGTCGATTATCTTTGAGTTGCCTACTTTTAGGATGGCGGAATAACAAACTCCTGGAACTTGAACTGCGCCTGCAGGAGAGTGGTGTACTTGGTTTCCGGCATATACCAAACGCTGAAGAGGAATCCTGCCAGGAGTAAGCCTCCAAGAATGAAAAAATAAGTTGCTACATAAGAGGTATCTGTTCCGATGGCACTGAAATCCACAAGTGAGCAGATGAGCAGCTGGACCATCATCTCAGCCATGTAGCAAATCGCGATTCCTGTTCTTTTGAAGCGTCGTGGAAATGCTTCCGAGAGATACGATGAACTGGGGGCAAAGGCAATGCCGGCGAATAATTGGTAGATCAGCAATAGCCACAAGGCCATTCGACTGTCGGAGAATGTGAGCAGGTTGCTGCCCGTAAATCTGCTGGCTAGACCAACACACAGACCTCCCGAGATCACGAGTCCAAGAAGCAGGGGGATTTTCCGGCCCAAAGAATCCAGGGCAAAGGCGGTCGAGCAGCTGCCAACGAGTCGCAGTAAGCCGAAGAGCACATAGGGTCCACAACTGAATCCGTATACCTCCGTACTGGTCCAGGATAATGTGAATGCCACAACCATACTTAAACTGAGGGCATAAAGAACCCTCAACACCATCAGTCGAAGGAGGGCTGGGAAGGCATGACGTCTTCCCAAGGATCTGTGCTGGTCCAAATAGGTCCTGTGATCTCTCACCTGATCATAGGTCTCAGCAGTCACGGCTCGCGGTCTCTGCAATCTGCTCAATGCTTCGATGGCACCCTGTTCATTTCCCTGCTCCAGCAGATCCACCGGAGATTCGATAGAGAGCAGGAAGGCCAGTAGCAGGGCGATGGCACCCAAGATTCCACTGACTAATCCTTGGAATTGATCTTCCGTGAAGTCACTCTGGACATCCCAGACATTACTGCAAACGATCTGGACAAAGATGCCAATCGTCGTGGGCCACTGTTCCGCCGCAGATGTGTGGGTTCCTCTCTTGTAGAAAACCGACAGTTCACCAGCTATGGCCAAGGTTGGCGCTATGGCCAGACCATTGGCCAATCCATTCAAATATCTTGCTGCCAGCATGGCATCGATATCCATTCTGTTTACAGCCATCAATATTCCACCAGTCATGGTGAGCAGGGAACAGAATTCCTAGAACGGTTAAAGATCTAAATTTAATTATTTACTAAAAAGAGTTAGTTTTCTTACCATTAGCACTTTATAGGGAAACCATCGGCTCAAAGTATCCCCAAGGGCGGCCCCTATAATCGCACCTATAAACCAGCAAATCCGAACGTGGGTGGTAATTTCCCATTCTTCTAAGAAAGTGCTGAACCCAATGCTCCAGGCTATGTGAATTCCTCCGGACAAAAAAATCAGGGCAGCTGAAAAAAAATTGCAATTATTTTATATATTTTTTAAGTAACGTTATCAATTAAATAAATGGAAATACCTAACAGGAAGATAAGATTTCTGCTGACAACTTGAATGACAATTTAAACTGATGTATTATCTTTCGCTTCATTAAAAGCAAACAATTTTTTAATGTTATTTATATTTAAATTTATTTTCTAATTATCTCCCTAATTTCCTTTCTTTTTCTGCGAATCGAAATGTTTACATTCTTATAAAATTATTTCTGTTTTCAAACCAACACGAAATAAACGATGTTCCCTTTCCTTCCCTTTCCCTTTTTAAATTCTAAAATTTGGCTAATAAATAACAATATTTTGGTTGACATTTATAGACAGGTGTCGGCCTTGATAATATCACTATCTACCTCATAAATATTACTAACATGCAATGAATCATTTATGAGTGGGAATTCCACTTATCCAAAATAATATGACGCGTATTCACCTCCCACGTAGGAAATGGTGGTTACTACAGATAACTTATGATGATTTATTACTCTCAAAGAACAGTATCAACAAACAAGTATAATCTGAGACGTCATAATACAACTTTAGATTAAATGTTAATCTCTGATTATTATATTTTAGTAACTAATCTCTTACCTGCTCCAACTGCATTCGCCTGCGGCTGATTGCGGAGATCTCTGTTACAGCATGGACTTGTTTGGGAACTCTGAAGGATCAGTTCCCGCTGGTGATCCGAATTGCTGGGGATGTGGGAATCTACGTCACTAGTGATGGGAACGACGTGGAATCCATCGCCTTGGGAAGGTCGATCGGTCTGCATTGGACCCTTTGTGGTCGAACTCGCGGAAAAGACTACTCGTCCGAGTTTATATTTGGTTCTTGTAGGCGAGCGTGTTGTACAGGTTTATCTATCGACGGTGAACTAATCTTATCGGGTATTGATTGATAAGTAGGTGCTTAGATATTTCAGTTCTTGCTATCTCCTAGAGCCCGATTTCCCCTATAACGATTTGTTAGCATTGTGCCGGAGAGTCGAGCATGTGTTTTGCGGGATTTGTTTGTGTACACTACCAGGTAGAACTGCCTTGGCCAACCTTCACCTTTAGTTAGTTCTTTCTTTACCCAACCACTCTCTTTAGGGTTTTCAAAACTCTCTTTCAATAATTTACTGAAAGCAATTGTCCAACACTTTAATCACGATTAAATTTGTTGACAGTCCGTAAATGTTATCAACAATAGCCGGAATACGATTGGGAAATACAACGCCTGGAGTGCTTGTCTAGCTATAAATATTTATTATCATTTCTCTGACTAATGCGTAATACAAAATGTGTTACTCGCTAGAAGCCTGTGTTGATGAATTTACTGAACTTCTCCTGGGCTTCTCTCAACGTTGTCCTTCTGGTCTCCGGCAGGCAGAGGATGACGAAGAAAAATCCGAATAAATAGAGACCTCCCATGACATAAAAGTAGGTGGCTCCAGCATTCTTGTTCCACGTAAATATGGTCAAAAGTATAAAGACAAGCATTTCACCGATGAATGTGAAGGCGATGAAATGCTGTTTGACTCCCAGTGGGTAAGCCTCCGATAGGTAAGGGGAAGTGGCTGTAAAGGCGATTCCTGCGAGCAGTTCGAAGAACAGCAGCATTACGGTGTTTCCGGTGTTATAATTGACTGCAACCACAAAGGCCAGGATACTGCAAACGAAGAGACCGAGAAGGGTGGGCTTCTTGCGACCACTCGATTCCATGCAGAAAGTGGCTACGAAGTTGCCCATCCAGCGACAGATACCAAATCCAATGAACCATCCCCAAGATCCTCTACCGTACTGATGGGTAAAGGTATAGAGAAAGCTGATGTACACGAATTTGGAAATACTCATGGCGTTCAGTCCACGCAGAAAGAGCAGTCGGATGAAGGTGGGTAGAGCCTGTCCGATGCTCTGACCCATCGATAGCTCCTTGTTGTGGGCCAAATACTTCTTGTGCTCTGCCAGTTGCTCGAAGGTCTCGTTGGTCAAGGTATATGGTCTCTGCAATCGTCGCAGAGCATCGATGGCTCCTTGTTCGTTATTGTTATTGGCCAGCATTATTACCGGGGATTCAATGCACAGCAGTGATCCAATAATCAGAGCCAAAAGTCCATAGATAATGCTCAGAACTCCCTTCATATTCTCAGATGAAAAGGAGTTGTACGACGGATAGGTCGAGTAGTTCCACGACGTGGTGTAGATGATCTGCAGGAAGATTCCCAGGCCAAAGCACATCTGCTCAATGCTGGCCGAGATCAGACCTCTCATATAGGGAACAGAGACTTCGCCGGCCAGGGCCATAAATGGAGCAAATACCAGTCCATTGGCTATTCCATCCAGATAGGAACCTGCCAACGTGGCATCCCCATTATTCCTGGTACTGGCAATCACACAGCCACCGATCATCACAAGGATCGAACTGAAAATCTATGGAAAGTGGCTTTATAAATGATAAATTGCTGTATAATATTTCTTTTACCTACCAGGACATATTTCTTTGCTATTTTGTTAGTGAGAAAACAGCTCAGCACCGCTCCTATGATGCCACCTATGAACCAGGCTGCGAAATTATGGTTGGTGGTTTTATAGAAGAGCCTTCCATGAAATCCAATACTCCACGCTATGTTCATTCCTCCAGAGACGAAAATCAGACCAGCTGGAGATTATAAAAGGTTGTTAGTTAGTGGTATTAGCATAGTAAATATATCTGTGACTCACCAGCGCCAACAGCATTTGATTGCGGTTTGTTCTTCTGATTACGACTGTACCATCCACCATTCACCGCCACCGTGGTGGTTTGCTGGGGCAGATAAGGTGGTGCTGGTGCTTGTGGTGCACCGTATCCTGGTGGGGCACCGTAGAACTGTGGTGGATATCCGTGATGCGGTGGTGGTGGTGGTGATGGATAACCCGAAAATCCCGGCTGTGGCGGTGGGGGATTCCAGGAGAATCCTGGCTGACTAAAGCCCGACGGTGGATATCCTGGCTGAGGCAATCCTTGCTGTGGAAGATATCCATGCTGTTGAGGTGCAGATGGAAAGCCCACTGGCGGTGGCTCTGGTTGCCCAAACTTATCGTTCCTCATATCGTAGGGTTCTTTATTTATTTTCGAGCTTAAACCGTCCGTGTGGATGGTCAATTTGGAACTGGTTGACGGACTACATCGGCCAATAACTTTAGCCATTTGGCATGGGACCAAAATGATAATTGAGTGGTACCAAGGCTTATCGGCACGTTATTGATAAGCTCAAAATGGCAAAGTGATAATGGTGACTACTATCGCAGTACGGTCGTGGATTAAATTGACCCCTAAAAGTTACCACCCACGAATTGGGATTCTTTGAAAATGGCTTAATAAATCCCGCTACCATACGGTAATAAATTGCTTTCCAATAGAAAGTTTTATTTGTTTTTCATCAAATAAACTGATGGGAGTTGGCGATAAAGTTATCAATTAAGAAAGGGCCTTCCCACCAAGTAATTTTCAGAAGTAACTATGACATTGAGATAGTGTCTTTATATATGATTGCAATAAAACATTATGACTTAAGCTGTAAAATAGAAAAGCGCTCACAACTTTAAGGTTGGAAATTGTGTTGATAGATTGAAAAAACCAGTCGTTCTGTAAAACATTCTTCAACTTTACATTCTGAAATCGAAATGTAGTTATATACAGATGAAGATGTGTATAGCATTTAGATTGGTATTTAATGTATATGATTCATATTCTTATAACTATGATAGTAACTTCAAGATAATGTGCTTCCCCGTTGGGATTTCCCTCTAAACAATCATTGATCATTGAAAAGAAATACGATTTGTGATGAAATGGAGAGCTTTTCGAACTCTTATATTCAAATACAGTTTATTTAGAACAAAGAAAATCCTCCGATTAATTGAACTTTTTGTTAATGAAACTGCTGAACTGCACCTGGGCACCGCGCAAGGTCATTCTTTTGGTTTCGGGCAGCGAAATGACTCCCAGAATGAATCCTACCAGGTACATGGCTCCCATGACATAGAAGTAGTTGTCTCCCTGCATGAAATTATAGTTGCAGAATCGAATGATGAAGAAAACAAACATTTCGATGATGAAGGTGAGGGCGATCGCAGGCTGCTTAAATTCCAATGGATATGCCTCCGAAAGGTACGATGAGGTGGCCGAGGAAGCCATTCCCGCAAAGAATTCGAAGACCGACAGCAAAATGGTCACTCCGCTCATGTAGTTGTAATAACTGAACTTGGCACCCACAGCAAAGGCAAAAGCAGAGCTCAAGAGCAGGCCAAAAACAGTGGGCAGCTTACGGCCCAAGGAGTCCATGAAGAAGGTCGGGATAATGGTTCCGGCCCATCGGCAGAGGGCAAATAGAATAAACCAAAGCTGTTCAGCGCTAAGTCCGTAGGAGAGATAGATCGAAAGGGACAATGTGGTGGTCACAAAGCTGGACAAGCTCATTGCGTTGAGTACCCGTAGATATGCGAGTCGAATGAAGGTAAGGGAGGTCTGGCTAAGCTTCTCTCCGCTTGACAGGTCCTTGTTGTGGGCAACATAACGCTTGTGCTGCGCCAGCAGATCATAGGTTTCCTCAGTCAGCACAGAGGGTTTTTGCAATCGCCGAAGTGCATCGAGGGCTCCCTGCTCATCGTCATTAACCAGCATTTGAACTGGTGATTCGATGATACATAAGAAGCCGTAAATTGTTGCTAAAATTCCAAAGAGGGCACTCAGTACTCCTTTCATATTCTCGGGAGTATAATCATTGTAGCTCTGATAATAGGGATAGGTCCAGGAGACGCTATAGACGATTTGCAGCAAGATGCCGACACCAAAGCACAACTGTTCCAAAGAGGCAGTGACCCCGCCCCTCATATAGGGCACAGTCACCTCTCCTGCCAAGGCCACAAATGGAGCAAATACCAGGCCATTGGCTATGCCATCCAAGTAGCAAGCGGCTACAGTTGCAGGTCCATTATTGTGGGTACAGGCAATCACAAAGCCACCGATGGTGACCAGTAGCGAGGCGATAAGCTGTACGGAAAGGAGTTCCCAGTGTCAATCAAGTTTTTAGATACAATAAAGTATATTCTTATCTTACCAGGGAATACTTTTTGGCCAACCTGTTGGCCAGCAGGATACTTAACAGCGCTCCAATAAAGGCGCCAATGAACCAGGCTACGTAATTGTGCGTGGTGGATGAGTAGTAGATGGGTCCTCGGAAGCCAATGGCCCACGCAATGTTCATGCCTCCTGAGAGGAAGATGAGACCGGCTGAAAGTTTTGAAAAATACTCATTAGATCAGTTAAAATTGCCATTTTATATATTAAACCAAAAAATATATAAGAGAATCATAAACATAAACTTGCTACCCATTAATGGCGTCATGGTAGATAATCTACTGTGGTTCCAGGAATAAGACATATTATTCGTGGACTAGATAAGATATTAGCCACAAGAATTTTGATAGTTAATAAACCTAAAATCCAAAAACCTAAACTCACCTGGGCTCACGGCATTGGACTGTGGTTTGTTCTTTCGGTTGCGCTTAAAACATCCTTCCCGTGGTGGATCCACTCTAGTGGGAGGATCCCTTGGAGGTTGTGGCGGTGGCGGTGGAGGAGGATGTCCATATGTGTCAGCTGGTGTGGTATAAGCTGGATATCCCTGAGGGGGATGTCCTGGCTGTGGGTATCCTGGCTGTGGGTATCCTGGCTGAGGTTGTCCCGGGATGAAACCAATTGGCTGTGGAAACTTGTCGTTCTGCCTGTCCAACGGCGGTGGAGCAAACTTGTCGTTCTGCATTGTCGATCGCGTTATATACGAATATATTTCACTTTCCACGAAGACAACCTGCTCGGCTTGCTGTCGATTTGAAACTGGCTAACACAGTGGATGGGCAAATGATTTTTATTTCGATCGGGATCGGGCCTGGGCCAACTGATAATCAAGTGCGGGGCCAACGCATATCACTGGCGCGCGGTACTTATTACAGTAAATGCTTTAGAACATTGTTCATGAGTGCCCGATAAGGATAATATTTTATGGTATGTGAGGTAAATATATATACAAGCCCCTTCACATCCCAACGATTCTGATTTGGCCATCACAATGGTGCGCAATGGAGAGACGGAAAAATGGTATCCCCCGACTTTTTCGGTTGCTATGACTGATCACCAGCAGTAAAGTTTGAAATAAAATCTGAATCATGCATTGCCATATAAACGATTCTGAGAAGCTATCACCAATTATAGCTCTAGATTTTTATTATTATTTTATTGGAATCATTCGGCATCAAATTCGAAAGCAAGGCTATTTTTTGTCGTAATCTTATTTGTTGTTCAATTTGGCCTGCGCATAATATTCTCCTTAAGTTATATTCTAATTAATCTGTAAAGCTTTATGTAATCTTATTAAATTATTAATGATTCAAATATTGTATAAAGACTAAGAGGCATCTTTTGTGTATATATTACATATTCAGAAAGCAAACCCAGAGGAGTACCTGATCACCACACTGGACGGACTGGGGACAGCACAGCTGGAAAGCTTAACTTAATTTATTGTAGGTACAGAAACCGAGGCAAACTTGGGGGACTATGCAAAGTTAATGTACCCCTCGGTTTATGCAATAAAAATAATAAATTGGCCACTTATCTTGATCTGTTTGTTCTTGCTTTCCGGAGTCATCTTTTGGGGTTATAGGTATTCCCTTATATATTTAGGATCGACGTCATCATAGCTCCAGAAAGAGAATCTCCGAAAAAATCCATGATGCACAGCATCCTGTTGGAGTCCAAGTACCGCCAATGTAATGGGCTTCTATCACCTCGGTGGTACTTCGGATCCAAGAATATTCTTCGCATCATGGATTTCCACCACTACCAAAAACTTCACTTACACACACACACTCACTGTAGAATGAGGTGAATAATTTATGGGTGGTAACCAGAGTCCTAGTCTTGTAGTAAAGAGATAAAACCAGTTGGGAATTATTGGTACCCCAAAGTGCAAAAAAATATTTTAAACGTTAAGTTAACTGTCGGTTAAAATTCAAATTTTCCGTCGATTGTTAAATTATTTAATACTAAAGATAAAATTAACTTATGGATCTATTTACACTAATTGTCATTTTAGTCTATAAATATTGGTTGTTAGGTTATGTAAAATCGTTACCTCTGCGAAAATATTGAGATTTAATGACAACATAATGGCGACAGACCCTCCAAAAAATAAATATTGAGTTAGTTTTAATTATTATGATTGTTTAATCACTTAGTTATTTAAGCATAGTTTTTCTAATCTGTTATTATATACAGATTTGATTATTTTTTTATAATATTTTTAAAGCATTTTAATATTAAGTATTGGATCACATTTGAAGAAAGTTTCTGTGAGTAGAAAATATTTGTTATAAGGAGTTTCGTTTAGTAAATTATTATTATCTAGCTTACCAATAATTGCTTCTCAACTTTTTTGCGCTTGAAAAAGAAGTCAAATGCTGTTCTTAAAATTCCGACAAGGATAGGGGCCAAAAAATTATATTTCGAGACCAACAAAAACTAGAATAATAAATTGTTTTTTTAGTAGAAGTGTTTTTCTGGCCAACATTGAGTAGTTAAAGTGTTTCCCCATTTTTATATATCCACATAAGATTATTTTGCATAAAGCTTCCTGCAATTACCAACCTGATTCCAATGCATTTCCTTTCCAGGAACTGTGGCTATCACCCCACTTCGGCTTTTTGCTGTTCATTTGGCTTTTATTACTTGCAGTGATCTGCTTACGTTGATATTATGTAAACGTGCTCCGCTTGAGCACGTCTTCTCTCCGCCAGATCTTCTCGAATACTCTCCTTTGCTCCTTGTCCTCGTTGCTTCTCTCGTCGTTTTCTACTTCTTACGCCGATCTTCTCGCCTTCGTCTTAGTCTTTTCCGTCTTTTTTTTGTATTTTTTTCGCCAGATGGTCACTCGTCGTTGCTTTAATCTTCTCCGTCCTTTTCTTACTTAGTTCGCCAGATGGCTACTCGTCGTTAGCATTTATTGATATGTACATACATATGTTTATCTCGCCGTTCTTGTTATTTCGGTGTTTAGGGTTGTTGCATGCCTTTGAAAGTGATATTATGTGTTTGTTGTTCTGACGATGTCCAAAAGAGTACTACTAGCTAACTGAGCGGTTGGGCACATAGTTTTCGATTGATTTTTATTGACGGCATTACTTAGTTTATTGCCTTTATTTACCATATCACAAACCAGTTTGCTAAGAAATTACCTCTTAAATTGTTTATTATTCGAACGATTTTAAAACTGAAGCCCCTGCTTGCTTAGGGTTATATGATTTTATAAAATTAAAGGGGATTCCCCTTTCTTAACCAAGATTTTATCTTTAGATAGAAACAACGACGTAGTGACTCAACACACTTCATTCTTATCTTTCTTTATTACCCCCTTGCCATGTACTCAAAAATCTTTATTGAACCATTTGGAAAACTTAACTTGTGCCTCTGCCAAGGTTATAAGTCTAGTTTCCGGCAGACAGAAGATTCCCAGAAGAAATAGCACCATGGAAAGTGTGCCCAGGACATGAAAGTAGGCGGTAATCCCAACGATCGATGGTGCAAAGCTGCATAGTAGTAGTCGCGTGATTAGTTCCACTGTGTAAACGACCGCCACCAAATGTGGTTTTATGCCCAGAGGAAATGCTTCCGTGAGATAAACCGCCGAGGCACATTGTCCCAATCCTGCGAAGAATTGCAGACTGAAGAACATCACCAAAGCGGTGATCATGTGAGGAGTTCTGCCGAATAAATTTGCATAGGCAATGGCAAAGGCACCGGTGGAGAAGGTTCCGAACAGAGTGGGCTTCTTCCGACCAGTGGTGTCCATTAGAAGCACCACAAAAAAGCAGCCGCACCACCGCAGCACTCCGAAAACCACATAAATCCAGGCATGAAAGCTGCTCATAAACTGACTGGCCGTTTCGTAAAGACCACTGCAAATGATATAGTTCAGGCTCAGAATGCCCAGCAATCGGAGTGCCAAGAGTTTGAGGAGCGATGGGAACCCTTTCTGTAGACTCTCCTTCAAACACATCTCCCGATTGGCAGCCACATACAGTTTATGTTCATCCAATCTTAGTAGCGTTTCACTGGTCACCATATAGGGACGTTGCAGGTGTCTCAGGGCAACGATGGCTCTCTGCTCATTGGATCTCATCAGCAGGTGTACAGGTGACTCCACACACACGGTTAGGGATAAAGCCAAGGCTATTACCCCGTAGATTATAGAAAGTACTCCATGCACCTGATCCGCCACAATGACCACGTTCCAGTCCACCTGCCATACAGCCGTGTAGATCAACTGCATCAGGATGCCAGTATTTGAGCTGAGTTGCTCTACCGAGGATGCCAGAAGTCCACGTATCTCGCTAACCGCAATCTCACCTACTGTACTTAGGGCTGGTACAAAAACTAGGCCGTTGGCTAAACCATCTAGATATCGGGCGGCTATGATGGCTCCCGGAGATTCCGGCCATGCTAGGAATAGTATTCCGGAGGCAATAACCAGGCAGGAGCCAAAGATCTTCGGTAGAAAGGATGTTGATTAGTCAGTAGTTATAATTTTCCCAAACTACTTACATAGATCGGTTGCTGTGGCAGTCGGTGGGTGTAGAATGCCCCGAAAAGTGCTCCCAGGATGGCGGTAGCATACCAGGCGACTTGCATGTGCACACTGAGCAGGAGTTGATCTCGATGGGAGGAATGTACTGCAAATCCAGCACCCCAGGCCAAGCTCATGCCGCCCGAGATCAGGACGAACGATGCTGATCCGAGGGCATTCCATTGGGAGTGGTTCTTGTGGCCCACGCGAAGAAAGGTGGCCTTTTGAGGCGTTGCAAGCGAATCCTGAGGCGGCGGCTCACACTTCTTGCTGGACATTTGTGATCCGTTTACGAGGCGGCCCTAACTAACCACTCCTATTTATAAGGGCTCCGTGATTGGATCGGTTTATCAGCTTATCTATCCGCATATCCATAACCATAACCAAAGCTATAACCGCGACCATAAAATCATCGACAGTAGCTGCCATCAATCGGAACAGCGAAAATCAATATGCTCACTCCCCAACAGTGAGGTGAAGAGTTTTAATTAACACAATTTGGGGTGGCATAAATCATAAGCAGTGGGGTGTTATCGATAGCTAATCAAAGTTTGGTTATGGCTGTAAATAATTTGGCTTTAGTTTACACACATGGCTGAGGTTGAATGGGGTATGGATAAGTCATCTTTGCAAAATAATGGCAAACTGCTGGAGTTAATTAGGTGTTATGGCTGCGCAGAAGGAGACGTTGTGACTTTAATTGCTTTTCCATAGTAATCTAAGCATCAAAGGTTGAACTAAAAAGGGGAAAACTGTGAAACTTTAAATAAATATTGCCTTCAAATTTAATTAATTTAATTCATAATTGCTCATCCTGAAAAACACCTTTTTAGGTTAATGATAATAACATTATCTATATTTATTATAATTTATTTTATATTTATAGCCCACCATAAAAGTCGCTTTTTATGACTAGCAAAAAGTTTATATTTGTTAATTGTTTTCAAGGTTTTTTAGAACTTATTTGTGGCACTTTTTTTTATCAATCAAATAATATTTATTAGTTTTTTAACATCTCATTTAATATAATAAAAACATTCTAATTGATATTCTCTAAATTCAATTTTATTTATTTTTATTTCAAAGCTATTTAAACGCATTAAAGATTCATTAGAATTACGTCTACCTAAGACTATGTCCAATTAGTATAAAATTATATTAAAGCTCCTCAAAGTCCTTACTGTAAAGCCCCATTTTAAGATGAGATCTGAGTCCGACATTTGCATCAATTTTCGGCAGCAGTTTGTGGCTAAGCGAAAATTTCTGCCGACTGGCAAGAAAATTGGGAGGAAACCCCCAGTCCCCAGTCCCCAGGCCCCAGTTCTCAGTCCGCATTTTCAGACCAGTCTGCCTCTGCATTGCGGCAGGCATATTAACTCCGACTGGCAGATTAAACACGGCCACGACCATTGGCAATATCATTGCATTTGCCGCCTGGTTTATGGGCTGCATTACTGTTTTCGACTCCCGGAGCACCGGACTGGTGCGTGTGCCCAAAAAAGCCGCCAACAAATACTCAGACACCGGCAAACTCACTCACATATACACACATCTACATAAAGAAAGTGGAAAATGGCGCAGAAAGTTTTATCGCAGGTGCTTTTCCCGGCCTTTCTGCCAGCGATTCCAGCGATTTCCTGGCCAAGAAGGGATAGTTTTCAAACAGAACTTGCTACCAAGTTGGCGATAGTGTTTGACTATGTGCGCACACCTTTGGCTGGCGTTAAAATAAATTTCATTTTATCGCTACATAAATACAGGCTCAACTAGAAAGGAAGGGAATTTCTGTTTGGAGTTGCCAAAGTGACACTTCCGGCCTGCTGCAGGCCATAAATCCCAGAAGTATGCACACTCCCCACATCGACTGGATACTTTCACCCACATATTAATTAGAGCACGCCAATCCAGCGATCATTTGAATGGCGCAACACTTTTATGGCCATTCCGGGCGAAAATATAAATAAATGTTATATTGATCTGTTGCCATTTTATGACCCAACACAAAATGGGCAATTTTCCATTTTTGTTCGCCCGCCTCGTCTCCTCAAAGATTTACGAGCTCTGGGCGGAGACGCAGAAACAAAAGCAAAAAACGAAGAGCAAAAGGCAAAAAAAAAAAAGAAAGGAAATGGAAACGAAAATTGTATAACATAAACTTGGCTAGAAACAAAAGCCAAGTGGGTTCGCATCGTTCGCTCGGCAAAATGAAGAGCAGAAAAGGAGCAGCAGACTGTTTTCCGTGCGGCAAGGAAATTTGCGGCGGCTGCTGTTCGTCATATTGCGCATACGCCGCGTGTGCATACGTAATTTAAAATGCATATTATGACAGCCTTATGATGCGGTGACTGCAGAGGATATACTCATACACACACGAGCCGGCCCAAGACAAAGGCCTTTCAATTAGGGCAAAACTTTAAGGACAAGCTAAAGTGCAGCCAAGGACAAGGGCTCTCACCTGCCGGCTTATACATGGGGCTTTCCTCAAGTTTTAGCCAACTTTTCAGTAAATATTTCTTTTGGAAACTTTGACTTTGGCCCATCGATGTTCGTGTCCATTGAATCGCACCAACTTTCAACCCCTTGCCCATGCCCTTGGCTGCCATAAACAATAAATCCCAAGTTAATGTAGTGAAATAATAGAGTTTTTCTTACTGCATGTTTACCCAGCTTGTAGTTTATTCTGTAGTGTTTTTCTGTTTAGCTTTGTCTTCAGGATTTACTGACGGCCTCTCGGAAATTATGTTTATGCAAATTTCAATAAAATGTCAAGGAAGCCGAGGCACAAATTAATTTATCTGTGCGTGCCGGGATGAGTCACAAATCCTGATTAACTTCTGGCCCAAAAAATAAAGAACACAACAAATGTGCACTTTAGCCGGAGCCAGAAAGACAAAACAATTGTTCCAGAATGTATACACACACACACTCACACACACACACGAGTTCTCTTATATTAATATATGGTGTATATATCCTGGCGAGTCCTTGTGTCGGTTAATGCAAGCTAATAAATTTCAGCGACATTTGTACCTTTTGTTAAAAGCGGGACGGCAGGATGCGGTGCTTGGCAGTGGGAATGGGGGATTGGAGGCGTGGCATACTTTCATTGTTAACACGAGGCGGAGGCGTCACAAATTCCCAGCTTTTTTTTCGGCTTTTGTCCTTTCCACCGAAACGTCGGTGGACGTCACGAGTCTGCCAAAGATGCCTGAAAAATGGCTACAATTCATTCGCAACAGCAGCTGAAGCGTTTGGGGAAAATGGAAAAGCAGGAGCAGAAGTAGCGGAAAAATCCCTTGAAAAGCTGCAGCTCCTTCCGGCAGGACCTCTGAAATTTAGTTGTTGGATCGGTCCGTTCAAGCAAGTGATTTGTTTTGCTTCGTTTGGCAACAAATCAGAAGATAAACGACATCGATTGCGGCCAACGACATGGCTGCCGGGCCCAAAAAGGATTCGCCTGCCGCAAATTATGAGTTCTCCTCGAAAATCTATATATATATTCGTACCCTGGATATATCTCTGTATACCTGCATATAAATTCGAATGGAAAACACAACTAAACGAAACATTGTTTGCAATTAAAATTGCATTATGTGTGCACAGAAAGGGAGGGGGGAAACTATTTTTGGGAATTTATTTTTTGGAAAACTGTTCTTTTTTGTTGCATTGCACCTGTCCTGATGGCAATCGGATATTTTATTGGTCTCCTGCCAGGAGCATTTAATTATGCTGCATTGCACAGCCATATTGGACGTTCAAGTTTTCACAAAATAATTGAAAACAATTTGGATTTTAATTATTCACAGCCTTCGATTGCCACGAATGAATAAATATATATAGAGCAGGGGAATGCGCATCCCAGTTAAGGGTCAATGTTCTCAGGCTAAGACCAGGGATTCAACTTGAACTTGATTTATTTAAATTTGCACTCCCGAGGGTTGCCATAATTAAAGGCGAACTTTCAGCCTATGAAACTCATTTGCATAAGCAATAACACAAACTTCGGCCCATAAAGGTTGACAAACTTAACGCGAGTTACAAAATGCAAATGAGTTTGTTTCGCCTTTTGATAACCAAGAGGCCATTTTATGCCCGCTCATATGGCTAATCTAATTAAATGTTATGTTTTCGCTGGAATACAAGACACTTACAATGTTAATTTGGCGGCGTATCTTAGTTGCCGAGATGGTTTACACTTTTAACGAGCCACTCAAACTGGAAGTTTCTGTGAGTCTCATGGGATAATAACTTTTATCACACCTTTCATAAAGCTGGCAGGCCGCACTAATGGCCGAAAACCTGGCTCACCAAACGAACAGTGGCGGCCATAAATCAATCATAATTGTCCTTGTTAACTGCAATCATGAATATTTCCTCGGCATGTGCATAAAGCAAATGACAGTCATCCCATATACATAACCGCACACATAACATAACATCACCATACAGCCCATTACTCCCTTACCTCCCTCTGAATGTCCTTCCCCAGGAATTTCAAACGCTTGTGGATTTTGGGCCTAATTGCTGCTGCTGCTGCTGCTGCTGCTGCTACTGCTGCTTCGAATTCGGATTTTGGCTTTCGGATCCATGGATCCATTTATCCGGAGCCCCGAATTAGGCTCGCTGAAAGATTGCATCAAATGAGGTTTAATTAATTTTCGTACCCATTGCCCCGAAAACGAAACGTTTGACAGGACAGCTGGAGTGGGAATAGGGGGCCATTGTGTTTGGCCACGCCTCGTGTTTGCTTTAGTTAATTGATTTTCTTTCAGTGCGTTCCATTTGCATAACAATCCTGCTGCCTGCCCTTCCGAATCAAAAGCGAAGTGGAAAGGCGAGCGGGCGGTGAAAAGTGAAAGCGGCGAAAAGCCACCAAAACAGTCGTCGGTCAACAGTCGTGGGCTGTATTTTTTGTGTGTTTTGTTTGACGTCGTCGGACGGCAACTAAAACTGAAATTAGAACCCGTCTAAATTGCCATTGGCACACTTAAATACGGGTTCGGTTTAATTGGGTTTTTTTCCATGCTTTTTTCTCTTCCTGGGAAGGCAATAAAAATGTCCTTAATAGTTGACAGTTAAAGTTGAAGGGATGTTCGGCTTAAATGCTTTCTAAGTGCTTAAATTATCGAATTAAAGTTTTAATTAGTGGTCGGCGAGGAACGAATGCTTCGTGTATTTTCATGGAGTCATTTAGGGAAAATGTATTTCTACGTTTGCAGGTAATAATAAATGCATGGACTAAATTCTTTCATAAATATTAAATTAGTTTGGGATTCAG